CAAACACTTCACAGCTGAGCATTCCAGCCAGAAATCGCAACAACTGTCGCGTTAAATGCACAAGGTTCAGGCCCTCTTCAACAAAGAGTTTTGTACTTTTGGAACATTATTCAATGATGTTGTGTTCCATGACTGTATCGGAAATTTTTTTGACATCAATTTTGGTTTTCGTTTTTTTTGCATGATCAAACTGCGGGTTTCGGTATAAAGTGGACTGGTATTCATGTGTGGATGCCTTGAGGCGCCGGTGTAGCAGGCGCGAGCATATTTCGTAAACATTTTGATGAATGAAAAGCGTTAGGGTGGACTTTTGTCTCTGGGCTATCTTTGGTCAATTCCTTGCACAAAAAGGAAAAGCAAAAAAATCCCATTTGTGAACGAAATTGAAACCAATGACGAGATTCCAATTCCGACGACCTCCGACATGTTGTCGGTTAATTGCAATCCAATAACAATTCTCGCAACTTACGATGTGATTGTTTTATACCTCTTGAAGACCTTTCTTCAGACGATTACTGTCTCAGCCGTCTTCCTTGTTCTGGGTGAAGTTGCAGCGGCATGGAAAGCAAAGGAAAAAACAAAACTCGACAACCAGTACAAAGAAGTTTTTTTACGCCGGTCAAACCTACCTTCTTCAAAAAGCAGCAATCAAGTCAATTTGGCATGAAAAAATTAGCATGCTGTATTTTGCGTTTTAGTTTGTCAACAACGGCGGTTTTTTTTTTCAAAATTGCCTTGGGAGTTGTGATTGTATGCTTTCTCAGCTTGCACAAAATTTTCAAATAAATGATTTTTTTTCTCGTTAATTACGAAAAATAATAGTTTGGACATAACCACGCAAGTTGTATAGTCGCAGTACAGGCGCGGCCGCAATTTTTTCAAATTTTTATAAATTGGTTGTTGGCAGTTGGTTCGATTTCATATTGGAATGTTCCATGACATTCTAGTCTGTGATTTTTATTCATGATTTCAAATTTGTTTTTGATTGCGGAACTGAATGCAAAGATTTTTTGTATCGTTTTGTATTAACTGCCTTGGTTTTTGCTTCTGATAGTTCTTCGTTTTTGGCTGTTGGATGCAAACCAGCAAATTGTATCATTTTCTACTTGCAAATGTATTTGTGTTGCACAAATTGAAAACAATTTTATCCAAACGCCTAGGCCCTTGGAAATATAACATCCAAAGCTCCACGGCATTTGTGCAGAAGTTGTTGGGAAGCAGTTTAAACTTAATATAAAAAGGGCCCAGGCATTGTTGACAAGTGTCTGGATCTCGGACGTGTGTGTCGTTGTCATTCTCAAATTCTGTCGGCTGCGGATGGTGTCGGGTGGGGTGGCAAGCTCCAGTGTCCAGGATCACACAAAATCATTTTGGGAGTTGATGCTTCTAACGGATGGGGAGTGTTGTCATTGGTGTGGAGTTGGACAATTCTTAGCGGTGCAGGCGCTTCTCTTCTGCAAGCTATAGCAGCATACATTTATAGTTCCTTTGTCAGTCCAGCGTGAAAGGTCTTGTCCTGTTGCCAAACAAACACTATGCATTAACCAAATCCAAAACAATGTTGATCTAAGTAACCATTCATATTTTGTGTCGTTTGATGAACGAAAACGAAAAACACCGTCATAAATCATTGCAAGGGGGTGCCCGGTTCTTGTTATTGACAAACCTATTCAATTGAAAAAAAAGTCAGTTTCCATCAATCAATGATGAATTTTTATTCTTTAAAATGAATAGGTTTGTGAAGAATGTGAACCGAGCATCCTCTTGCAATGATTTGTGATGTTTTCGTTTTCGCCGATCAAAAGACAAAATATTGAATGGCTAATTGATCAACATTGTTTTGGATTTGGTGAATGCATTAAAGAACATCCGAAAGTATGTGTTGCATCTGTTTGGAAATAAGAAAGTCAAAACATTTCTGCGCACACACACAACTTGCTGGAAAAATACATATGTTTATGGAACCCCAACCCTAAACCCTCAACCCTAAAACCCCAAACCGTAAACCCCTAAACCCTAAACTTTTTTTTTATGCCGATTGTCTTGTCTTCCTTGTGTCAATTTTGTTCCTGTTTGGGCAGGATGTCAGGTACTTGTTAGAACGTCTGGTATACACCTTTCAGCTGAACAGTTGCTTCACACTGAAGCAAAAATGCTTTGGACGCTTCACTTGAACTGCTGAGGCAGACTCCATATGGTGTACAGATAATTTCGTTCTCGGGACTATAAGGCATCGATGGCCTGGACGTCCTCTCCCAATATGTATGTTATGTCAAACGGAAGCGAAGTATTTTATGAAGACAAAAGCCATCACGGCGTTGCAAAGGTGCTGCCTTGCAAGCCAAAGGCGGGCTTTTATTTATTGTTATTTTTTGATAATGATATGAACCAAGAAGAAACTTGTTTTGAGAACTGCAATAAAGAAAAATTCAATTAACAAGATAAAGAAAGACCAAGCAATTTTTTTTCATATTTGAACAATCTATCAAGTCATGATATATATATATATATATTTATATATATATTTCGACTCTATGAAATATATTCATGATTTTATTGATGAGTTGAACCTTCTTCTTGTTGTGGTGATTCAAATATACTTTATTCATGATTGCATAGGAAATTCGGTCGACATCGATGATTGGTTTGATTTGATCCAAACAGCATATATCCAGATTCCCATTGCTTTTTTTTTTTGGCATATTTTCATATTTCAATTGCTTTGGCAGACTGGTATTTTATCTTGCATTTCTATTTCGTCGAACCCTTGTATTAGAATATTTAAATTGAAATTCTAATTCAATTCTCAAGTAGAGAGAACAGACTTCTTTTACCAGTTCATAACAATTTTCATCCCAACAGTATTTTTCTTCCCAGAGGGCGTTATGAAGCCTATCAAATAAAAATTGATATTTTTAAACCAGCGGATTCATTCAGGACACGCGCTATCCAAAATGCAAATTTCTTTGTAAATCCCAATTTGCACAGAAGTATTATTCCGCTCGAATATCAGAGTTACAGGATACTTATGAAGTTAGCTTGAGTTTGGTACTCGTACTAATATTCGTAGAAATATTAATATCACGACTAGTATTTCTATTATCGCCAAGATAAGTATTAAAAATAATGAAGAAGGAAAGATTCGGCTATACGATTTGGTTAGGAAAGGTCGCCAGAAATAATTTTTGGCATCACGAGTTAATACGACCAAAAATAAACCAGAAAAAGGCACCATGTCTCGAGCGTACGATTTGAGACGATAAAGAATGGGGTAGAAGGAGCTTCCAAGACCCTATTCGATTTTTTATGGCCAAGAGTGGGCCAGGAATTCCGGCAATACGAAGTATAAATGGCCAAGATTGGACCAGAAACAGCTACCAAGACCCATCAGTTTTCAACAGCCAAGAATGGGAAAAACCACCAAGACCCAGCAGCAATACGCTTTGTCACAAGAGTGATCCAGAAACAACCACCAAGACCCACGAGTGCGCTCAAAAAAGCAACCACGGTACGGGTTATACGGCCAAACTTGGGTACGATTTGATACGGCCAAGAGTAGATTAAAAAACCAAATCCAGTTTAATACCGGCAAGAATAGACCAGAAAGAACCACAAAATTCTGATAAAAAATTTGATAATTAAGAATAGGTGAGAAAAAATCATCAAAAATTAAGAATACAATTTATATTACGATCTTGTTTTTTATTTTATAAAATCTATTATAGATAAAATATCTAGAACAATATTTCTTAAAATTTATTTGGTATTCAAATAGATTTTTTTTTCGTATTTATATTCTTATCAAAGATATCAATTTAGAAAAAAATAATAAAATTATAATAATAAGAATTTCAAAATAATCTCGAATATAAAATAATAGAAACCTTTTATCTAAAAATTAGAGATCTAAAAATTAAGAATTAATATAGAATATATAAGTAGCGTTCCTAAATTATCGAAATATTATATCATTACGATTCCAGAAATCATAATCGCTTATAATCTCGTTAATCCCCAAAAGTCGAAAATCAAGAAAAAAGATAAAGAGATTTTTTTTTTTTAAAAATTCGTATTTTACATACCTAGAACTAAGTAATAATCTTGCCACTATCGAACGCACAACTATGATTCTTAACAATATTTTCAAAAAAAAAAATATAGTGTTTTCAGAATTTATATTCTTTCTTCATCTTGACGATATTTTAGAGCAATAAAATCATAATTAAATAATAGAGAATCAAAAGTTATGCGAATTAATTCCAATCCAATTCCCCATGTGAATTTATTTTTCAGAATTCAACAACCGCTATCAATCCTACTTTTTACTCCACGAAAATCTTTTACTTTTACTTTCATACAAACTACACGATACATCCTTCTTCAAGAATAGATTAAAAAAACTTGCCCAGAATTAATTAATGAAATTATATAATTATATTTTTTTATATCCGTATTCGAATAATCGACAAAAAGAAATTTAAAACTAGCACGACACTTTTATAGACCGAGATCTCCCAATCATCCCCTCCTAGAAAAGCAAGAACCCCTCCTATATTTCGAATTTCTCGTTATCCAATCTATATTAAATATATACAATTATCATATACATCCCGCAATCAATCAATCCATATAACTCAATACAAAGGTTTCTAATTTATTAAAATAATACTAAATATTAATAATATGCAATAATCATCATATTTTCACGATATTTCAAAATCTATCCAATAGAATAATAAATATCTAATGCTGATATATCTAATTAAAAAATCTGTTATATTATTTAGGAAATTTATTATAAAAATATAACGTTTTATCTAAAATAGATTTTGAAATATCTGGTTATAAAAGCAAAATAATAAAAAAAAATGTTTAAGAGATGAAGATTCATCGAATCAAACAGAACTTGTTGGTCCCGCTGCACAGTCGTCAATCAGAGAAAGCAGAGCCTCAACATGCCCCCAATGCCGGCATCGCCACAGCCCCATTCTCCGCCCCCGTCATAGAAACAAGGAAGAAAATTGCCAGGTCATTCTAGGGCTCATCCACGGCTTCTTCGATGGCGATGCTCCCCACAGAAAGTTCGCCCCTGTTGCTGTGGGCATGCAAAAGCTTTGTCTTTCAATGAAAGCATCGCAAAAACGCAACCCTTGGATAACTTCGAGACCGAGACGAAAGGGCGGCCTCTGGAGGCAGCGAGGTGAGCGCCACCCAAGGCCACAACGGCGGTTCGGACGAAGTCGGCTGGGCCTAAAGCCTGGCTTGTCATTCAACCCTGGCTTCAGACAAGATGGCTCTAGAGATCACAGAGCACCCTCCCACGTCGAAGTCCGAACCTTCAAATCTTCTTTCGTGCGGCGGGAAACAAAACAGTCCGAAAGTTATAAACACAACGAAACAACAAAGCGTAGCAGAGAACTCTCAATCCGAAAGCAGTCCTTGACTATCGCAAGGCCTCGGACACCATTCGAAGGGGAGAAGATGGCCAGGGTGTGGGATGGACCTGTCCGTGGTGCCAAAAGAAGGGTTTAGGGGTGTTTCAAAGCATTGAGTTTCAATGAATTAACTATCCGCTCACCGGTTTTCGCAGATTAGTGTCTGCAGATCCACGGGCGTGCCAAGTCCTAAATTGCAGAACAATCGAAGCTGAAATGGCTGCACTGCTAGTACAGCTACGACCACACCACTTATCTGGGCGAAGCTCAGGGTCCAGGCACAATAAATCAGGAACCAGCTTTTGGTACATCTCAAACATACAGCAAAAAGACCACCAGTAGAGTTCAGGGTCCTCACGTCTAAGATGCCTTTGAGGCGGCCCTACGCTCTGCAAGCTGGAAGCTCCTCAAACACTCAAGACTCTTAGCCGCTCCTGGTCCATACTGAATCAAGTAAGTGCGAAATTCTTATGCTTTGGCACTCTATCTCTGCATTGCTGCCTGAACTTGTGCTTTCGCTGCCACCACTGTGTTGTTCTGCTTTCCAGTCTTGCTCGTACCGCGTTGTGTGACCTCAAAGGAACTTGCTCTCTGCAAGGCTTGTGCTGTACGATCGCGATAAATTTTCTAAGGCTTGAGTGGAACAAACAAACAAAACCCCTGCGAGCTTGATGGGCCACCCAGCCTTGTCTTCTTCTGGACCTTTTCGCTTGATCACGGGCAGTGGGAACTCTGGGATTTTAGAGTTTGTGAGCATGGGGCTGGAGGGCAACCGCAGGGTGTAGGACACCAGGACCCAGGACATGTATACATAAATATAAAATATATAAATGTATAAAAATACGTACATAGAACCTTTGCTGAAGAAGCACACATTGCACGGATACCAGCTTGATACCAGGCTTGAGCACTTTGACGAGGCTGCGTCTTTCCGTGCATGCCAGAATGTTGAAGGGCTGCAGTTTGGATGGTCGTCCGAATGTCTAGCTCCGACGACATGAATGTGTTCCAAGGCACACAGTGAGAGACCAAGCTCATGCTCCAAAAGCTCCAAAGAGTCCAAGAACATAATGGCCAAAGGGTTGTCTTCCGAAGCTGTGACCCGATTCTTGTTTGCCTAGGTGATGTTCGCCGTTGTGATCTTCGAGCTCCGGCAGTTCCCATACGTGTCAAGAGCCACAAGTATCCGGTGTGTCGGAGCCATGTTGTGGTTGATGTGGTTAGGTTATGCTAGGTTTGTACTGGTTGTCATTGCTACTGAAGATCTACATTGTTACAAGTACGTAGCATGTTTATGTTTGACGATCGTGGGGCGGAACTATTTGTAGCCCTGACTTGATGCCCCTGTGATGGCCAGGGTGTCGAAGCATTCTGAGGTTAAAATGCAGATCGCAACGCAGTACTACTAACCCGGAATGACCGTTCCAGGACCAAAGCAAGCTCCCAAACACCCCACAAGCAGAAAGTGCTCACATCCAGGCCGAGCGAATAAGCTGCGACGTGCACATCCAATAGGATTTGGCCAACACATAAGAAACTCAACAACACGCAGTCCCTCTCGCGCGTGTACTGACAGTTTAAGGCCTCGGGAGCCTTGGCTGTAAGCAGTTCGCAGGCTTACTTGGCTAGGGGTCGCAGAATCTCTTTAGCCGAGATCCAGTGGAACCCTCTCTAAGAGCATGTGGACGAAACTGTCTAAATTATAAGCCCCGACAGTCCCTGACTTAAACCTACGACGTGGACCCAAGAGTCCCAGCCTAAAAGTTCACGCAGGTGCTCTCCTGGGATGCAAGGATTTACGACACAGAGGTGGATGTGCAAGGCTGCTTAGAGGCTCTGAGTCCGAAACTCTCACCCACCGCACCTCTCGCCTCTAATGCGCGAAACTGCACAGCTAACCCGAGCTCCAAGCTCCTCGGAACTGTGAGAAACTGTCTAGGTCCTGCAAAGGCCGAGCGCCGAATCCCTGGCATAGGTGAAACTCTGGAGCCCAGAACAGCCTCCGAAACCATTCCTTCACGGGCTACTTCCTCGAACTCCAACTCCTAAGCTTAAAACGATCAGCCTTTCCAGCCCTCAAGGCTAAAGCTGAGATATTGTGTTGCCACTCGCAAACCAGGCTTCGCAGGAAATTTGGGGCTTGGTGCCCAGCACTTCAAAGGCATGAATTCCAGTCTAGATTCACACACTCGAAGCCTGCACCCAAGATCAGATGTGAGCCATGAAAAATCAAACCTGCACACATTTTTCAAGCCTTGAACCCGCAACACCTGAATTCCAAACCTCCACAGCACCATCGATACCCAGCGTCGGGAGATTGGGCTGCCAAGCGGAAGGCCGAGGCTCTCGTCAGGACACTGAGACCATGGGAGGCGACCTCTGGAACTTCGAACCATCTTTCGGGTTTAGAGACAGAAAACGGAGCCCGCAGGCTGGCGTCTAGCTGCACTGTGAGGCAGAGTGTTCGGACAGGGGATGCAAGGATTCAAGATCGGGTTCGAAAGTTCCAGCGGTCGGCCTTCAGTTCACGAGCTGTTGACCGTCACCTCTCAGCTGGAAGTATGAATTGCACATGATCGGAGTGGTTGGCGACCCTGACCTGTTGCACCATCTGTGTAATTTCAAGATCAAAAACAAAAGGGAGTGTGACAACAGTTGCATCAGGGAGTAAGTGAAGAAGCAGACCGGTGCATAAATGCCTGGAGAAGGGGCTCCCGCAAGACCTTCACTACCAAATTTACGCTCGCAGCGCTTCATGCTCCTCTTCTGCAATAAGCCTCGGTGCCTGTGTCTGCCGGCTTGGTTTTCCACCAGTCATGACTCTGCGTGGTCGTTGTGTACTGCATGGTCTTGGGCACGAGGCGCCTGGGAACGAAACATGCAAACATTATGTGGCTTTTCTTGACTTCCTACCATTCCCCTTCTGTGCGGTTTTAGTATTAGAAGCCGGGATTTCTACAGGTGGAAGGCGACACAAGATTTGAACTGAGTCCGAGTCTAGGCCCGGCGGCTTTCCGGGGGGGGTGCGGGCGGTGCGGGGGTTTGCTGTTGGAAAGACCGACTATGTGGGTTTAGCGCAACGTGACTCTCCGACACTCGGCATCAAGTGGCTTAAACAGACGCCGCGGAATCTGGGGCGATTCTTTGAGAGCCGAAGTCCAGAGGGAATCAACCCTTCGAAAATTGGAGCAGTCCCTGATCAGGGACGTACACTCAAAAATTACGCTGTTGCTTCGACGGAGTGATACGGTCTTGCATCGCAGAGCATGGGTATTACCATCCAGGCCGCCGCAGAAGTGCTTTCAGGCCAAGTTGCAAGAAGAAGTTGCACAGTGCTATAAGCAGCGTGCAGCATGCAAAACTTACTGCACGAAGAGTGGCATTGTCAGTGTCGAAAACAACAAGGTCAGCAAATCGAATGATGGCATAAGCTACGATCAATACAAGCACGGGGACACCTGCAGTTCCCAACACCATCGTGTTCTTGAGAAGCTCAAGACAAGTACTCCTGGGTCTCCGCCGAGCAAGCCTGAGCAAAAGTATCAGAAGATCCTTGGTAGGTGGGACGAACAACAACCAAATCACCAAACCTTCGAGCAGAAGAGCAAGAGCAGGATGAGACCACATCTCCTGCTTCCACTCAACAACAACGTTGAACTGAGTCCAGCTGGCGGAGACGTCCATGAAAGCCAGAATCAGTGGAGAAGTCACGCCCAAAGCCCATGGAGTACTGAATACCTTTTCGGTGAGGTCACGGTTCAAAACCTCCAAAACCTCCGTGCGCACAGTGTCCTCGAACGATGACTCGCTACCAAACCAAATCTTCAAGCACTCTTTCACGATCCTGGGTAGCCGGTAGGATGAAAGGTTGGTTCCTATCCTTGAGCTCTTCACTTCAACCACCGGATAAAACTACATGAACTTAAAATCTTGCCCTTCCAGGGCCCGGCATCTTGCGGTCACAGATCATCGGTCCGCCCGAAGGTGTCACGTGCTTCTGGTCACAGCAGGAACTTCTTGTCGAATCAACGGAGATCGACAACAACTGCAGCTTCATGGTGTCCAGGTCTCTAAAGTAGCTTCGGATCGTGCTGGCAGTCGGGAACGCAACCGCGCAAAAGGATGATGCAATGGCCCCCATCAGTGTGACGACCGTTCTTATGCTGTTGACGGGTGCTGTAGCGATCGGCACTGCCATGGCAAAGAATGTAAGGAAGGCTAAGGTTGAAAGAGGTCCCATGAAGATCGGCCTGACAACAAGGTGCTGCCGTGGCGTCGGCTTGCTCTTGAGGAATGCGGCCAGCTGAAACAAGCACCACAACCTTTCAGCAGGGATCAAAACATCAGTTTTCCGAGGATGGATCAAAGCAGAAGCATGTAACCACTGAAAGTATATATCACAACAGCCTGTGTTGCCCTCCGTTGCTCGGGAAACAAACAGCAGTCTGTTGAATAGAGTTAGGAGGTTCGGCCAAGCCATGGCAGGGTTACCGACATGTCGAAAAGGGATCTTACAAGTCTGTGAAACGAAGGGTGAGGTTTCCCACATGCCTTTAATGCAGGACTTTGCGGCTGGAACGTCAGACGTTTGGGTTATTGCTACATTTGACGGAAAACAAGCTTCCTCCAACTTTTCGAACATGGCAACCGGGTGTAACTAATGTAATTTAGAATGCAGTCCTGCGCCCAGAGCGAACTTGAATGCTGTGTGTGGAAGCGCTGTGTCAACCACTATCCCACCTCTGTGTCCATGTTGGGTCCCACAGAATGAGCATGTTATCGGAGTGTTTCAGCAAACCAGCCAGGCTGAGGATGGCTTTCGTCTTCAGGCGATCGTTCTTCTGGCTGATGCAAATGCGGTCGAGGAAGATTCCAGTCTGCGGCCGCCAGAAGATCATGGCCAAACTCGCGACGACAAACCCTGAAAAAGTTGACCAACAAGACCACGGAAAACTTACAAACCATCCGCGGTCAATTCCAGGGAGAGCTCCAAAACTGAAGAGCACCATCATCAACACCCCGGTGAGCAAAGCCAAGGCTACTGCAGCAGTGCCGTTGTAGAAGGTGATAATTGCGAAGATCTTCTTCCAATGCCCCCCCCGTGCCAAGAGTGACTCCAAAATGTCGATACCCTCTCAGTCTGGCGGCTCTTCACGTAGAAGTCCCCGGCAGATCCCGGGCGCAATGCGATCGCAAACTGCTCCAAAGCGCGAAACACCGGCGTCACCCTCAAGACTTCTGGGTTCACCACTTCCACCCTGGGTAATCGTTGCTCACTCTTGATTCTTGTTGAGTCTGCGACTTGTGGAACCAAAACTAAGAAGGAAATGATGGCTTCAGCAATATGACCGAGGATCTGGGAAACTCGTTCTACCAGAATTGGTATCAGCCCTTGCATGATGTCAATGTCTGCAGGTTCCACGCTGCGCGCAGGACTTGCTGCAACGTGAAGGCTCGGAATCATCACCTTGCTGCAGCTGCTACTCTGGCTGGAACCACTATCTTGCCTCTCGCGCATCACCTTCAGCTCTGGAAAGGAATCCTCACTGCTGGTCTGGCTTGGCCTTCCCATCTCTTGTGGCAGGATCAATGACACGAGCTTGTGCTGTGAACAAGCGGAGGAAACATAGGCCAAGCTTGAGTTGATGTAAATGGCACGGCATGTTTGAACATGGGTGCTTCCTGTGCTTTTGGCACCTCTCCTTCAGCCTTCACATAAGACGGGCAACTGTCTGCGCCACGGTTAAGAGGAACTTACAATGAAGTGGAGGCGGAACCATATTTAGCATACGCTGAGCACGTTGAGCCATGCATGCATACCCAACTTGTGGTCTCCTTTTGTGGGTCTCCATGATGTAGGAACCTGACTGAAGAACCACGGGCTCTCATTCGAGAGTCGGCAATTGAGGCATGGAGTGCTACACGCCTGCAGTTTGGGAAACATGAGAGGGGAACTAACACCCACATACAGAACATCAATGATGCTGAAAATGACTTGTTGATTACTGATCTGGAACCGGATACTTTTTTGGATTGTTGGAGCTTTCAGAACCACAAAGGAGCATCAACCCGGTTATGACAAAATCGCTCATTTCCAGTTTCAAGATTCGAACGCCTCTTCATGCAAAGCGAACGCTGTGATTACGTTGCTACTAGTCTGAGACAATGGAAGCAGCAGTTAGTCTTAACCCTTGATGAAAGCCAAAACCCAAGACTGTCTTGAAGTTTGCGGCCCTGAACCAAACAAACCCGGGAGTAAGCAGCTGGCACGTATTTGGGCAGCTGGCCAGCAAAGCCTGAGTGGAAGCGTCTTCAGTGTTGTTCTCAACCCGAAACCCTGAACCTCAGGGGGGGACCCCTTCAAAATGGCTTCGGGGACCAGGGACTGTCGACTCACTCCCGAGGTCAGACTTGCATCCGACAAAACGCCACAGGCTTGACTTTGGGGCTGTTGCAAAGGCTTTGTTTTTGAGGTCCGCTCACAACTCGGACGAGGCCTTGCGGTTTAGGGTGTTAAGTTCTCGGCCGTCAGACTCGGGGCAAGCCAGGGGAGGCATGTGGTGTTGCGTCGGCAGAATGAAACCAACCGAAAGACCAGAGAGGCCAGCCTCCAAACACTAACTCGTAAGAGATACAACCTGCTAAGAGGTTCATTCGTGATCCTCTCTCGACCCAACGTCCCGCTCAGTCAGATACACCTAGTACCTAGTTCGTTTTTAGTTTTGAGGTTGTAAGGAAATCATTCGCACCGGATGCTTTTTCAATTCCGGCGCGTGTGCAAGCACCGTCTTGCCTTTGGCAAGCGGCTTTCGGGTGTGGTGCAGCAGGCTGCACATGCACCATATGCGAGCTGCTCCAGATTTGGGTTTCTTTGTAAATCCTTGCTGCATCCTTGTTAGGATAAAGAGCCTCTCACGAAGCCCCATGGATAATTAAACCCTGAAGGCGGCCCAAACCTTTGGTTTCCAACAGCCGTCTGGTAGGAGTTTCGAGATCCTGATACCGACCTTGAACACTAGGAATTAAGGATCTCATCTAATGCTTCAAGACCGCAAACCACTTGCACTTCCTAAGGCCACCAAGAACATTAATTTCGACAGTGACAATGCGGCTCTCGTATACTTGAACTCCCGAACTCCCAGGATGCAACAAGCATGGGCTTGGGAGCAGCTTCGTAGAAATCCTCCGAGAGCTTTGGTTTGACTCCGGGAGGTTAAGCGGAGCCCTGAGGAGACTCCAACAGGCATCTGAATGGGTCCATTCTGAGGTTGAGGGATGGAGAGTGTTTCAGGGTTTATACTGACTAAAGAGTTGTGGGGTGTTTCAAACGGCAGCTGGCTCTCTGATCGCTCCCTAGGCGGCAAGCCGACCGACCCCAAGACCATGACCATCGATCCACTACTTTGCACTGTGGTGTTATATCGGCATCGCATGCAGTGGGGTGGCCGGTGTGGTGTAGCGCGCACTGGGAGTGTTTTTTGCGATTAAGCCGAAGCGCCTTCCCAGTGCTTGAATTGTACTGTACTCCTGGAGATTTCGTGATCTGTGCGTTTTGTGCCACCCGCAAGCTGGGAATCAGGCTTTTGGCTTCGCGCGTAAGACCGGTGTTATTTTTCGGCAGGCCGCGTCACGCCGAAAGCCACCCCCACTCCTCCGAAGACTCGGCTCCTTTCAAGAAGCGTCCGGTCATGTAAGAGCACCTCCACGTCCTGTTGTTGTATCTGAACCGCTTGTGTGGACCGGCTTCGTCGCTTGTGCAACTCCCTCGTTTCAGGGATTGCGGGCTTGGGGTTTAGGATTCAGGGCCTTGGGCTCAGTGTCGAAATCTTTTGGGTTCATAAGCATATTGCGCCGTTTGGCTTTTCGGATCTGCAAAGAAGAAGCGCATGGTCCGAAATAAAGCCGCTTAGGACCTCTCTAAATGCTTTATATACGATAGCTGGATGTCTGAGTGCTTCCTGCGATCAACAAGCTTGCAGGCCACCTGGATAAGAGAAGTAGTCACGGTGGTTATGCAAAGGCCAGCACAGAGTGCCCTTGACTGGGAGCTCTGGGTAGCCTTCACAGCCTTCACGGAGAATCCTCCAAAGTCACTGCTGATGACTGGGCTTCCTGACTTCCATACAGCGCGGAGAACCATCAAAAGCGAGTCTGCCCAGCCGGCCTACAAACAAAAACTGTGCTAGCCACCTGATGGTTGAAATTCCCCACTGCCACGGCAGGTTACGTAACGACACAAACGGATGCCAGACTCAACAACATCGCATCGAAGCAGTGCTCTACAACAAACTTCGAAAGGACTAGGCCTTGGGAAGAGCTCGAAGCCCATCATGGCTCCCGGTTATTTCCAAATCCCTACGTAAACCTGCGTGAGGTCTGGTTCCCACCACATTAAGGCGTCAGATGCCATAGTTTCGATTAGTCAATGGTCAACACCCAGTCTGACTTGGTCTCCATGGCTCGTCGTGTGCCGTCATAGTTTCTCATACGGCTCGTAGAAGCAAGCTATCGCGAAAAGCAATGTTGCCGTCCTTCTCAAGTTTCATCCAGTTTTGAGGTGTCGGGCCAGGGCTGGATGGGGCAGGAGCTTCATCCGGTCTCGTGACTCTTTTTGTCGGCTCTCCCGGAAAGGGAATCTCAAGGAAGCTACAGAGCATGCACGAAAAGAGATAACGGCTTCTACGAACCACTGGGGCAGGATATCACCGTCTCGCAACTGAAAGAAAACTGAATATAGGATCATTGATACGAGACGGCTTGCACGTGCAGTCTTCCTTGGGTTCCCAATGACAGCTGGCCGCTCAAGTTGTCAGGTTGAAAAACCCTTCCAGCCTTTGGGGGATGTCCTGCAACTCCTTCGTTAGTAATGGCAACCCCAAGCCCGACAAGTCCAGCTGAAATCGTTTCAATCATGATAGACACTGTTCGTGACAGCTCTTGTGAAGAGCAGTAACTGTAGTAGTAGTAGTAGTAG